GTGAAGTTTGCATAAGATTGGGTTTGGGGTGATTGATTTACTGAAGTTTTGGTAGCGCTCCCTTATATTATTTGGGCTCAGATTTTTGCTTTAGTTTGTCCTTGAGCAATTTTTAATACTGATTTGTACTCAAATAATGATCTTTTTTATATTTTTTCATTTTTCTTTCAACTAATTGTATTCTATTATTTGGGCTCAGATTTTTGCTTTAGTTTGTCCTTGAGCAATTTTTAATACTGATTTATACTCAAATAATGATCTTTTTTATATTTTTTTCATTTTTCTTTCAACTAATTGTATTCTACTTTTGTAGAAAAAAAGTTCAAATTTATTGGCATATGATTGTTATAGATTTTATTATATTTTTAAAAATGTCTAATACAATATGGCTGTCATTGTGTCCTTTTCTTTTTATAATATTGCTCACTTGGGCCCTCTTTTATTCTTGAACAGTATTAGAGGTTTTATACTTTATTAGTCTTGTCGAATAAATAGCTTTCAATTTTTTTTTTATCCTTTCTGCTGTTTTCTACATCTCTATTTCATTAATTCCAGATGCCATCCTATTGATTCTTTTATTCCCTTTGTGTTTTTCTGCTTTGTTTTTCTAACTTCTAGGATTAGACACTTAGCTCATTTTTCTTAGTATTTCTTCTTTTCTTCTACAAGCACTTAAGGCTATAAATTTCCTTCTAAATATTGCTTTGACCACACCCCATAAGTTTTAATATATAATATTTCATTCTCATTCAGTCCCCAATGTATTTTAACTTCCATTTTGGTTTCTAGTGTGCCGTATGGGTTATATAAGAAGATTTTTTAACATTTCTAAATTATGGGGCATTTTTGTTCTCTCTTTGTTACTGTTTTCTAATTTCATTCTCAGAGAAAATGGTTTCTAATAATTTTGCTATTTTCTGAGACTTGATTTTTAATCAATTACATCGATACATTTTTATGAATGTTAATGGGCACATGAAAAGAATGGACGTAAAGAATTTGTAAATTCTAATTGTAGGATGTTAGAGAAAGCTTGTTATTGTTGTTATTGTTTTCACCCTTTTGTGCAAATCACCAAAAATCATCCTATTTACATCTTAAAATGTTTGAATAAGAATTCTTCAGTGGAGTTTCTGAAATTGCTCCTTTAAAAGTTATTAATTTGTTTTTAGCCTGTTCTTAGTCCTGGGTCTTTGGACACTCTTCATCACCCTCTCCTTAATTTTCTCTTGGCTTCTGTGACGTGGCAGTGACCTTGGCTGTGTCCCACTTTTCAGACTGCTCCTGTGTTTATTGTTCCTCTTCCGTTTGCTGCACTCGGAATGTGGGTGTTCTCAAAGCCTCTGCTCTCGTTTCTTCCCTCTCTCTCTTTTTGATCATTTATTACCCTCCACTTTTTCATTTCCAAACCCCTGATCTAGCCATGCTTTCAGCTATTATCATATATGTACAGGTGATTTGCAAATACAGCCCAGCATCTTTTCTGAAGTTCAAACCTGCATATTAGTTCTGATAGATTGTTCCACTTGAATGATAGACTTTGCATCAAAAAGCAAAAATATTTTTCTGCTGTATCCAGTCATTGCCATGATATGTTACTGCAAGATTAATTTTCTCAAGTGGGACTCTGATCATTTAATTTTACCATTCAAAATCCTATGGGGTTTTTTTGTGGTAAAACATGTATAACATAAAATTTACCATTTTAATCATTTTTACATGTACAATTCAGTGGCATTAAGTACACTATGTTGTGTAACCATCACCACTGTCTATTTCTAGAACTTTTTCATCATAACAAACAGAAACTCTACCCATTAAACAATAACTCCCTGTTTTCCCTCTCCTCAGTCCCTGGTAATCTCTATTCTACTTTTTGTCTGCATGAATTTTCCTATTCTAGGTTTCTCATATAAGCAGAATCATATGATATGTGTCCTTTTGTGTCTGGCATGTTTCACTTAGCATATAAGTTTTGAAGGTTCCTTCACGTTGAAACATGTTCAGAATGTAATTCTTTTTTGAGAATGAATAGTAATCATGTGTGTGCATGTCATATTTTATTTATCTATTTGCCTGTTGATGGACTTTTGAGTTGTTTTCCCCCTTTGGCTCTTATGAATAATGCTACTATGAGCATTGATGTGCAAGTATCTGTTCAAGTCCCTGCTTGCAATTCTTTTGAGTATATACCCAGACGTGGAATTGCTGGATCATATGGTAAATTTTATGTTTAACTTTTAAGGAACCACCAAACTGTTTTATACCATGGCTGCACCATTTTACGTTCCCACCAGCAATGCACAAGAGTTCCAATTTCTCCATATCCTCATCCACACTTGTTATTTTCCAGTTTTTTTAATAATAGCCATCCTAGTAGGTTTGCAGTGGTATCTCCTTATGGTTTTGATTTGCATTTCCCTAATTACTAATGCTGTTGAACATCTTTTTCTGTTCTTATTGGTCACTTATACGTCTTCTTTGGAGAAATGTCTATTCAGTTTCTTTGCCATTTTTAATTGGGTTATTTATCTTTTTACTTTTGAATTGCAAGAGTTATTTTATATTCCAGATACTGGCCTGGTCATGTGTTTCTATTTCTCTTGGGCAAATATCTAGGAGTAGAACTTCTGGACATTAATTTGATACATACTTAATTTCATAAGAAACTTTCAAATAATTATTCAAAGTAGTTGTGTCAGTATACAGTTCCACCAGGAATATATGAGACTCGCATTTTCTATGCAGGCTTGCTGATATTTGATCTTGTCAGTCTTTTTCATTTTAGCCATTCTGATCGGCATGAATTGATATCTTATCGTGATATTTAATTCGCATTGTTCTGATGACTAATCATGTAGAGTTCTTTTCACATTCTCATTGGCCATTCACTTATCTTCTTTTAAGAATGTCTATTCAAGTACTTTGTCCATTTTTAGTTTGATTGTTTTTTTTTCATTGTTTATTTGTAGGCATTCCATTTATAGTCCAGCTATGAGTCCCTTGTTAGTTAAATGCTTTGTAATTAACCTCCTCTGCTTCCACCGTAGTCTGTGACTTACTTATTTATTTTCTTATTCATATCTTTAATGAGAAAATTTTATTTTTGATAACATCAAATATATTAATTTTTTATCTTACGTTAGTGCTCTTTGCATTCTATCTAAGAAATGTTTGCCTGTCCCAAGGTCATAAAGATTTTCCTCCATGTCTTCTTCTAGCAGTTTTGTGGTTCTAGCTTTAATATTGTTATATTATCATATTATTATATTATACCTATGAGAAATATTAAATTAGTTTCTGTGTATGGAGAGAGGCAGAAGTTGAGGTTCTTTTTTTTCCCTCTCCATGTTGATATCCAGTTATCGGAGCACCATTTGTTAAAATGACTTTCTCTTCCTCATTGAATTGTCTTGGCACCTACGATTGTATTGTATTGACTGCGCATTTGTGGGTCCTCTTCCGCACTTTCTTTTCTATCCCGTTCATCCATGTGTCTACCCTTGCACCAATACCACATTGTCTTTATTACCCCCCTGTTTTTAAGCATTAAGGCCAAATTTTGAAAACATTCATGTAGTACCTACATGGTCCAGACTCTTTATATGTTACTTATACAAATTAAATGAGGTAGATAGATATTATTTCCTATCTTCCACCCTCCATTACATAACAGTTGCAGAATATATGACAATTTGAATAGGTCACCTTTGAGCACTAGCCTGTGTTATTACAAATCCCATAATTTGTCTACCTTTCCAGAAATTAAGCACACATTCCTTTACAGGGCTTTTGAGCTCCACTGAAAAGATCCCATCTTTTGCTCTAGCTACATCTCTTAGTGGTTCCTTAGAGGTACTCAATGTTTTTACCAAACTAGATATCTTCCAGGTTTCTAAAATGCTCCACCCTTTTCTGCATATGTGCCTAGGTGGCTTATGTTCTCTGCCTACCATCTGTGCTCCTTAAGTCCAGTAAATGTTTACATTTCCATCTTAGAAAAGAAATCTCTCCATCAGGCTATTACAGAGCTTCACAATCAGATGTGATACCTCTGCTTCAAAATTCTTATGTCACTTTACAATTCTGATGGCACTCGTGTTACTCTGCCTTATATTTATTTCTTTATTCTTGCCCAATTTTTCCCACTAGGAAGAAAACTCCTTAAAGGCAGTATATTAATTGTCTCGGTATCTCTTGAATAGGCATTTCAACATATTTGAGTGAAAGAAATTTTTTGAGATAGCTAAAGGATCTTGTGATTAAAGTTCAAGAAACTGTTAACACAGTGAACAGGTTAACCCCATATGTGATTCAGGATAATCCCAAAGTTTATTCTATCAATTTAATCCCTATAAACTTTTTTTTCTTTTTTTTTGCCCCCAAATCAGATCTTTCCAGTTGGAAAACTCTCAAGACTGTAGCAGAGATTTTGTGGAGATCCGAGAAGGAAATGCCACAGGTCGCCTGGTGGGACGATATTGTGGACACGCCCTCCCTCTCAACTATTCATCCACTCTTGGGCATAGCCTCTGGGTCAGATTTGTGTCAGATGGCTCAGGCAGCGGCATAGGCTTCCAGGCCACCTTTGCTAAAAGTAAGTTGGTTCTGTTTCAGTGAGATCTTCTAGAATATGTCCTACAAAGGAGAAATGATAATTTTTTCAGTAATACATTAGGCAAGAACAATCCTAAACTCTATACTATCCTTCTATATTGTCTTTGTGGGATTACTCTACTATATAACATATTAGAAACACTAAATTATGTGTCAATGACTCATTAAGAGCAAGGAGAACATTCTCAATGGTGCTAATATTCTTTTAAAGCTCTAGTTTCTACGTGATATTAAATTAATTTTTTTCATGATATTGTGTCAGTTTTGTAATATATAGTTCAGGTTTGGTATATTTATGTCAAATGTGTTTCATCTGATCCCATAAACTCTACAGTCTTCAAATTAAAGACATTTGGTATTACTTTGGGATTGACTTAGGTGCTTAGATATTATAACACCAGGATATTATTCCAATAGAATAAAATGTTAAATATTTTTCTTTTCTAACTCAGCTTTTTCGTAATTAGCTATTCTATATGTGTTTCCAATCTGTCAGTTTCTCTTATCTTATAACATTTTTTTAAAAAGCATGTCCCATTCTTTTGTAAAACAAAGTAAAATAGGTAAGCCAAAGTTAGGGAGTGGGGCTGGTAATCCTCCCTTCCCTGTCCCCAAGTCCCCTGGAGTCTGGGAACCCCTTTTCACGTGGGAAGTTGTGCCTCTTTTCACACCATGCAACCTTTTAAGGAGATGGAAGAATTCCATTCACAAAATCACCCTTCTCTAAGGAATTAATAAATAGCCCAGAAACCAAAAGGGGAGCAGTATTTCTTTCAATAGTCAGAAAAGAAATCACAGTCAATTAAAAGCCCATCCCTTTCAATATCCTTTGCCTTTTGTTTTTTTCATTTGATTAAAGAGCTATGCTAAGTAGGTCTGATTTACTGCTTTGCTTTCCCTCCTAGTATTTGGCAATGATAATATTGTGGGAACTCATGGGAAAATTGCCTCTCCTTTCTGGCCTGGAAATTACCCCCATAACTCCAATTACCAGTGGATAGTAAATGTGAATGAGTCTCAGGTTGTCCACGGTAGGATCTTGGAGATGGACATTGAAGCGATACAAAACTGCTACTATGACAAATTAAAGGTGAGTTTCCACGTGCTATCAATGATTATAAATGTTGGTGAATTGCTACTGGCAAAAATGAAACCGAGTTAATGTCTATATAAGCATTTGTAAATCATACAGGATGGTCTGCCCTAGACTGCTGCCTCTAGATTACCTGGAAAAAGGTAATTTCACTGTTACATTTATTATTTTCTATTTCATACCTAAGGGTGTTTTTTTAGCATTGTATAATTTACCTGTTGGGGTTTATCTAAGTACGTATTATTTATTCTATCTTATATCCCATTATCCTGTTTGTTCTTATATTAGAGTGTTAAAATTGTAAAGGATCATGTAAAAATAAATAAATATAAATATAAAAATCATGGTGACCATTGCCATCCGGACATTGGCTACTGTATCAATTCCAGAAACACTATCAGATTCTTAAAGGCCTCAATCTCACCTTAGTCCACCCAATACCTGGTAGATGCCCAATAAGTATGCAAATGACTATTACATAATTTGACAAACTGACATTCAGTAGAGGATTTTATAATAACTGTTACAACAAACTTTTTCTAAATTATTTAAAAACTATCACAAATGTGCCTCTAAATAGGTAATTTAATATTTTAAAACCAAGTGAAAGGGAGTTATTGAGTGCTTTGAATATGCTGAGCTCTGCAAACTGTGGTTCTTTTGTTGGAGTTAATTCTTCTTTCCTTCTGTGGAGATACAGACTCCTCTAGGATACCTGTCCACTCTCTAATTAAACCATTCCTCTTTCTTGGTGTTTTTCCCTCATTCTTCCTAATTCCTCCCTTTGAGGCCCCAAAGCACATTTACTAAGTACTGTTGTTACGCAACTATCCTGCTTGCTACTTTTCCACCCACAAATTTTACTATGCATTATCTAATGAACTATATCCCACAGAACACATATATTAATATTATTCTATAACAACGATATAAGTAATTTTGAAACACATGAAATTATTTGCCATAATATTTTATATTTAATGGCATTTTCTGTTTTAAACGGACATAAAATGTTTACTCATTTGTTTTTGTATTATGATCAAATTATAATAATATAAAGCATCTTTTAAATTTTCTGTTTTATGAAGACAAACAGAGGTAATTGCCTAAATATTATCTGTTTTTACATGCAGATTTATGATGGGGCTGGCGCTCATTCCCGCCTAATTGGAACTTATTGTGGTACTCAGACTGAATCTTTTAGCTCCACTGGAAATTCTTTGACGTTTCAGTTTTCTTCTGACTATTCAGTATCAGGGAAGGGATTCCTTCTGGAGTGGTTTGCAGTGGATGCTCCCATGGGACCTTTACCTACCATTGCTCCAGGTACGTTTGGTAATAAATGAAATTCTTTTTAGGTTTGATATGTGTGGGCCAATTATTTCCAGGAGTCCTGTGATAACAGGAGCCAAATACAGAAATCAGTGCAACCCCGAAGCCCTTCCTCCTTATGTTCAGATGTTCTTTTAAATTCATAAATATTCCATTTTGTAAAAATTATAGTTTCTTCTTAAAAATACAGGCTTCCTATTATATTTTCATATTAATTAGGGGTTTGATATCTATAAGATACTCTACTTACATATATGAATATAGTTCTACCCCAGGAATGTAAGTGGGGAGAATCTTCTACATGACTTATTTATGCTTAACAATGATAAATGGGTAATATGGCAAAATTGTGGGGGAAAAAGTAGAGCACAAGGTATTTTTTTTGCACAAAAGATAAATTATGGAAATGAGGGCTATTTGAATCAATGGGTTTAATAAAATATTTATTGATTTACTTGAGGAAGTTGTTTTGATTGGCTGTTTCTTTTCAGCATAGGACCGTCACTTTAAAGTTAAAAGGCACTAGCTTCTTTTCTGATAGAGGAATTTCAAAGATGTTGCTTTTCATCCTGCAGGTGCTTGTGGTGGGTTCCTGAGGACAGGAGAGGAGCCAGTCTTTCTTTTCTCCCCGGGCTGGCCAGGCAGATACAGTAATAATGCCGAGTGTAGCTGGCTCATCCAGGCTCCGGATTCTACTGTGGAACTCAACATCCTTTCCCTGGACGTTGAATCTCACCCAGAGTGTGGCTACGATAACCTTGTGATAAGAGACGGTGAGAAACATTAAGAAAAGAATACTGAGTTTCAGTCCTGACACATGTTTAGTTCTATTCAATTATCATCATATTTATTTGCTGCCTTTGTCAATTTTGTATGATAGTTCACAGATATTATGGTCCATGAAGGCATCAAATTCCAGAACTGGCTACAATTTCTGAAGAAAGTAAGGAGAGTATTAAATTGCTTGTCACAAAATGTCAGGGATAGCACAACAGTCCTAAGAGGAAACAAAGGCTTTTTTTAGAGTTTTATGTCAGAGAAAATAATCTGAATTTCCAGGTTGTGCTACTTTCTTATTGAGGGAGCCTCAAAGATAAAAATTGATGTTTTATATCTATGGCTTTAAGATCCAAGTGAAAGCACACTTAAAATTGTAATGTATTTATTTCTCTTAGTCCCCTGAATCTGTGGGTAGAACAGGTAGAATTAAGGGTAACATTGTTGCGTCCTTTCCTCTATACACGGGTGTGGTACCACTATGTGATGGGTTAGGGACTTGAATAATGCTCATAGGCAACATGCACACAATTGTGCTTCGCTATTTGCATGGGCTGCACTGAAGGAGGACAGCAGGGAGGCCACAGCCTCCACATCAGTGTTTCTCAGCGTGGTCCCCAGGTCTTCAACATCAACAACGCCTGGGCATTGTTAGAAATGCACATTCTCAGCAAAAACAAACGTGTTTGCTTTTGGCTCACACGTTGCTAGTGCGCAAGATCTAGTCTCCCTAATCCCTGCATCCCTAGACCCCTGACTAAGTGGGAAACATCAGATAGTGGAGGTGATTTATTTTCCTTCTGGCGAGGCTGGACCCTGAGCGAAGACTCAGATCAATCATGCGAACATGATGAGATGGTAAACCGTGACTTTCTCCCTGTTCAGATCAACAGTCGGCACACTGCCCCGAGGAATTGTTATCTTCCCTCACATCAAAGCATTCCTGTGGATATTGAATTTAAATTTTTTCATGTTGTGAAATGGATGTGTCCTTGCTTGCATATTCTGAGTGTTTAGAACCTAGTAGAAGCTTTAAAAAATACCTTCACTAGATAACTGCATCAATAAAGTAAATTATGGTTATTCTTTAAAAATCACATTCTGTTGAATTTTTTTGTTGTTGTTCCACCGGTAACTTCTCTTGAAAGCCTAGAACCTGGAGAGTGGTCCTTTTCTTCTTCTGTGTGTCCTCGCACAAGTCACTAAGTGGCTCTAAGCCCATTATATCATTTGTGAAAGGGAAATGAATACCTGCCTCATAGGCTTTTTATGAGGGTCAGGGAAAGTAAGGAATGCAAAATTTTTTAGCAAAGTCCAAGCATTTTGTGGATACAGAATTTGGAAGAGTTTAGATTTCAATTTACTTGGGTAGACATTTCTAAGAGAGGCTGCATCAGTGTCCTTGCTCAGACACAGAGTGACTTGGAAGAGCCAGAGAGATTGAAGCATGTGCCAAACAACACAAATGTTGTATATTGGTTTTGTGCTCTACCCACATAGAGTCCTTTTTATTCACTAACAGTGTGAGTAGATGCCCAATAGGTTCATTCTTTCCTCGTTTGTTTATTTACTCATTGAAGAAGTAGTTGTCGAGTGCCTAAGATGTGTCAGTTAGTGGATATTTTGTTCATTTATACAACGTTAATATATTTTTAGAATTAAAATTTAATTCTCTTCAATTATTTCTCCTTTTCCCAGTTTTTTGCTTCTGAGTAGCAGAGGTATGTGACATTCTGAAGCAAGTATCTAAAGCCAATTGGCCACAGACAATAATACTTAGGCTACTTGTGCAATTGGTCAGTCATCACAGGCCCTTGGCCCTTGGCCATAGGCCGTAGGGTGGCTTGTGAACACTCCTGGGCCATCGCAGAGAGGGTCCTGCAGCATTCTTGGGAGAACTGAGTCCCTCTCCCATCTGCTTATTCATTTTACAGAGCCGCCATCGTTCAAAAATGAGTCAGTCTCTTCCAGACAACTCACCAACAAATTCTGCATATCAAAGATTCCTCCAAACTGAGATTCCATGAAACTACATCAGGCCTAGAAAAAGTTTTTTAAAAAAAGAAAGAGAGAGATTGAGAGACAGAGGGTGGGAAGGAGGAAGGAAGGAAGGTAAATTGTATAAAAATTCAGTAATCTTTTTATCTAGTCCCAGATCTGAAATGTACTTTCTTTATGACCTTAGGTAAATCATTTAATAGCACAGTTTGAGGGCATCTGGAATTAATTTGCTAGTATTAAAATCATTGTTGACTTCTATGCTTTATGCCCATGCATATAGCAGCATAACTTGCATCCCCTTTAAGACTCAGTTTCCTTATCTACAAAATGGAGATAAAAATAATGCCTACCTAAGTGTTATTATGAAGACAAAGTCAGATAATACACATGAAGCACTTAAAATGGTATATAATAATTGCTCAATAATTGTCAGCCTTTAATAATCTTGGGGTCTCAGCTTCCACATCCCTAAAATGAAGAGGCTAGACTGGGGAAAGAATTAGCAAGTTACCTTGTAGCCCTGGCCTTTAGTTTTCTTTGACTTCTCCCTTTCCTTAAAGATCAGTTCATTCCTTCTACAATCTATATTTTGAGGTTTTGGAAGGCTCTAGAAATACCTCAGTACTCAGCATGGAGACTGAAGGTGGATAGCAAGTAACAACCATCTGCGGTTATTGTGTTATCTATCAACTAATCAGTAATTATTTCAAGATAAGACCAGCCAGTCTAGGGGTGAATTTTAGGGAAAAAAATCAAAATCAATAGACCCAGTCAGTCTTACTGAGAGGCACTAAACACGTATGAACTAATGACATAGAATAAACTTCAATATCTTGTGATACAGGTAATTAGAGAATAAGTCCATGAAAATAATATTGGGTGAAATGTGTAGTGAAATAGCATAATGGAGATAATAAATGCAAAAGGAGTTTAAGAGATAAAATTTTAGATTATAAAAAACACAAAAGTTTCCAGAAGTCAGAAACCCTCCAAAGAATGCCTTTCAAACATGTTGTATTTATAACTGTGCTATTGCATTTGTCATTGCAGAAATAGAATATAACTTGTTTTCTAAAGTAGTAGATAATGAATGAGTTTTAAGTAGTGGTCAGCGCTAAGAAGGATTCCTTTTGCTGGTTGTGTAAAAGGGCCAATTTCCTCATGTCTCATATTCTATTTTTGTTTCTTTATAAGCTTGAAATGTATTAATTCTCTGCCTTAGAGAGAAAAATAAAAAAAACATATTTTCCCAGCCAAGGAATCCAAGTCTGCTATAATCCCCCTTTCTCCATTCTGGTTTCTACAGGGACAGTGGCTTTGACAGAAACCTATATCCAAGAGAATCAAAATGAAAAGGGGACATGAGGAAACCCTGCTCTCCTTAGCGTCTTTCCATGGTGGGGGGAACACTTGCTGGAACTGTCTTTTTTCATCCTCCACACAAGTGTGTTCTTTTTATAACAAAACAAACAAAAACAACAAACAAACAAATGAAAAGTTACATAAAAAACCACTGGAGCTGAAGAAAGGGCCATATAAAAGTTGCACGCCTCTTGGTGAATGATCTTGAACTATTAGCATAGGATCTGAGGTCAGAGAACCAACCTTTTTTTCTCTCTTTTATATACTTGACCTTCTGCAGTCAGAGTCACCTAGGTCAGAGTCTCCAATTAACATACACGTCAGCTCTGGTCCTCGATCGCTTCCCAGTCCCATGTACTCTGATTTTGAGTTTTAGTGCCAGGAAGAACTGGCGGCCAGTTTTTAGAAAGACAGTGGAAACTGTCAAAGACGTATTTATCCAAAAGGGTAAAGAAAAGGGCAGACAGCACCATTGCAACTTGGAGCCGGAATGATGAACCCCTGGTGTGTCCTTCTTATTGAGAATCTCATTACCTCCCACACATTATGATGTTCTGTAAAAAATATGTGAGCTGCTTTGGCCGGGCTGTAAATGATGGTGGAGTAGATTCTTCAAACATAGTATTTCATGCTGACATTTCCTTTCTTTGGTCACAGGAGACAACAACATGGCCCCGCAGCTAGCAGTTCTCTGCGGCAGAGAGATCCCTGGGCCCATTCGGTCTACTGGAGAGTATATGTTCATCCACTTCACCTCTGACATCAGTATAACCGGGGCAGGCTTCAATGCATCCTTTCACAAGAGTAATGAGTTCAAAAATTTTAAAAATCTCATCTCATTTTAGCTCATCTTTTATTCTCTGCCTAATATTATTTTTTCATGCCAGGACACAGGTTATAAGTCAGAGGACATGGGCCTCTGCCCAGCCATTGGATGGCTATCCTTATGTCAATACCAAGTCTTGATCCAAAGCACTATGGCCAAGTTGTACAAAAAGCCTCCTGCCTTCAGGTCCCTGCGTAGGACATTTTCCCTCCAAAGGAAGTGTTTTCATAGTCATAGTAGGCACAAGACTAATATCTTTAAAACAATTTTTTTAGCCTAGCTGAAGGCTGGAACTAGAAGATAGCATGTAGCCATAACATCACAAAGGAACGCTAAGTTATGATCTATCTTCATAAATAGCTTCATTGAAACCATCCATTTGAGAGTTAGCAGGAAGAGTTTGTTGCTCTTGAAATATGAATTTGATGAGTCAGAGAATGGGACAGTGTATGGGGTGCTTTCCTGTGTAGTGTGATTGAGACTTCCAAAGCTTGACATGTCAAGTAGATTGCAATTAAAGAAATAGTCCATAGAATATTGAAAGACTGTAATGTTTTTAACTGAAAAACATAACGTTAAAGGATATTCTCAATCTAACATTAAAAATTAACATTTCCTCTGCTCTTATATACACCTTTTATAATGTAGGGAGCAATTAGAGATAAATTACGTTCCGCACACTCAAGAGAAGGCAGGCTGTGTAGTGATTTAAGAGAACAGGCTTTGGCATTACACAGACCTAAGATAAATTTCCGCCTCTGCAATTTAACTAGCTGTGTGAGCTGTCTACACTCCCTTGCTAATAAGCTGTCCAGGCCCTGACAACTGGCAAATTGATGCTCTATTCAGTCTCTTTCCTCAACTCTCAACCTCTCACTCTCTCTCCTGCATGTATGTAAGGGCGGTCCCCTCCTCACCGGACACTGCTTTCCACCCCTTCCAATCTAAGGACTGCAGATAGAGGGATTGTTTTAAAATTGAAGTAAGATCATGGCATTCTGATGCTTGAAACCCTTCAACACCTTCCTCTTCTTACTCGTAATAAGCCGTCTCAGTTTCCTGCATGACCTAGCCACACTACCTTTTGAATCTCTCAGTCTGTGTCATTCATTCTGACTTCCATGTTGTACCTCCAACACATCAAGCCTTTACGCTGTTTTCTGGACTGAATGTTTTTCTCCAGCAAAGCCATCTGGCTTGATCCCTCATTTCATTCAGGTCTCTGCTCAAATGTTACCCCTTCTCTAAATTCCCCATACCATATAGTGTGTTTCTCCTCCTCCCATTCATTTTTCTTTACAGAACTTATCACTATGTCACATATTATTATATGCATTTATTGCGTATCTTTCCCATCTAGAAAGTAAACTTAATGAAAGTAAGAAATTTGTCTCTGTTACTGACCTGTATTTCCCAGATCTTAACAGCAATAGCAATAATAACAAACTGAGTACCCAATAGCATGTGCTCAGTAAACGCTTGTCATACTGATCATTTCCTACACTTTGGTCCATTGGTTTCAAGAATTTCTATTGCCTACACTTCGAAAACCCCCAAGAAAACTAGGAAAGCATAAAAATCCAGTTGTCATCGATGTGGTTGAAATAACATACCTTTGTTTCCTCTTGGGAAGGCTGTGGTGGATATTTGCATGCAGACAGAGGAATTATCACTTCCCCCAAGTATCCAGAGACCTACACGCCCAACCTCAACTGCTCTTGGCACATCCTGGTCCAAAGTGGTCTGACCATTGCTGTCCATTTCGAACAGCCCTTCCAGATTCCAAATGGAGATTCTTCTTGCAACCAGGGGGATTACTTGGTGGTAGGTATCACTTGCTGCCCTTTCTAATTACATTCTCAGAAGACTTCATTCAGAGAACAAGATGATGATTCTTCTCCTCTGGGACATAAATGGATAAGACTTTTTAACTCCCTCTTTTGCCAAATAAAGGAGTTTATACAATTTAAATTTGTCTTTGCAGCTAAAAAATGGACCTGATATCTACTCTCCACCCTTGGCGCCCCCTGGAGGAAATGGCCATTTCTGCGGCAGTCACCCCTCCTCAACTCTGTTCACCTCGGATAATGAAATGTTTGTTCGGTTTATTTCTGATAATAGTAATGGAGGGCAAGGATTTAAGATCAAATATGAGGCAAAGAGTTTAGGTAAGCATTTTCACTGAGAATTTCATGTGTGCTTTTCCTGCAATTGCTTGGTCTTCCTTGTTTAAATAGATTTGAGAAATAACATGTAAAATTTTCTTTTTTGAACTCACAGTAATAGCATTAATAAGAATAGCTACCTGCTATCAAGCACCTATTATATGTTTAATGCATTTAATATCTCATTAGGGCGACTTTTAAGGAAAGTAGTATTATTTCCATTTTACAGGTAAGCAAAATGAGGCTTGGATTTTCCAAGGTCACATATCTAGTTACTGACCAAAGTGAAACTCTCCACAGGTATAAAATAAACTAACCTTATTGATCCCCAAAAGTCCTTCAATCTTTCCATTATAAGATGTCTAAGTGAAAGTTAAATCTAGTTATAGAAATATTGTAAGAGTTGTTTGCCTTGTTTTGTAATCATTTGTATGCTCCCTTTTAAATGAACACATAATCTTTTGATTCAATTATTACTCATTTAATTACATATTACAGCAGTGATCTTTACTTAATTACCTTTACTTAATCATACTTGATTATAATTGTATTTAATTTTACTGTAATGATTTGATTTTTGTGACATTTACTTTTTAATAGTGTTTAATTGAATAAATAAATAAGTAGGCATAGCTTCAAAAAAGGGAGTAGTTTCCATGGGCAGCAAACAGACCAAGTATCTGTGTGGCTAAGTGATTGGACAGGTTAATTTCATTGGCATTGTATCTTTACTCCTGCTTGGTTTATTTTCTGAAATTGCCAAAGAATATTTATTGATAAAATATTTTTATATAATGTGCTGGTCTTTTAGATAAGAAGTTTAAAAAAGCTCTTTTATCTTCTTGCAAAAAAAAAAGTGACTAATAAATTCTCTCATGCCATTGATCTCTTACTCTTCGAATGTATCTAAGTCCTGAAGAAATGTAATGAATGAATGCCCACAGGGTTGTGCAAACATATATCTGCTTAGTCTTTTAAACATATCAAGATCATGGCTCCACAGCATCCTGCATTGAACACTCAGTGGGAAGTTGTAACCACTAAGATACTTACTTGCTCCTTGAAGCAGTAGATACATGTTCACGCTCCCTTGAAGTTCTGCTGCCTGCATCGTGCGTCATAATCATTTTGTTGGCTTTAAGGAAGAATGAAATTTCCAGTGAGAATAAATGGTTTGGTAATTTAAAAAGTGACACACCTCGTAGCTCCCTCAATAGCAAATTCAGAATTTATTTGCTGGAAAAGAAAATGAGGATCATTGTAGGTGAAAGAAAATTGAGATGGGATACAGATAAGTTGACTTTAAAAAATGATCGTGGCTATTGACGGCGTCTCCTTCACCAGACTGTAGATTGATTTAACCGTGTTTCCCGACAGCCTGCGGGGGCAACGTCTACATCCACGATGCTGACTCTGCTGGCTACGTGACCTCCCCCAACTACCCCGAGAATTATCCCCAGCATGCTGACTGCATTTGGATCATAGCGGCGCCTCAGGGGAGGAGCATAAGGCTTCAATTTGAGGATCGATTCAATATTGAAGTATCACCCAAGTAGGTCACCTCCATTTTAATTTTTCTCCTACTCCAAATTAGTAGTTTTTAACTGTAATGTCTCAGAGCAATTTATTTCTTCTTTTCTTAGTAGCACGTACTGCATGGGAAATCTAGGGACAGAGGGAAATGCTTCGTAACTCAAGCCTAAAAACACTGTCGGCCCCTCTCCCATCAGCTGAGCAGATTAAGTACACAGATACTGTCTCTGTGACCTCTAGACACATCCTCCGAGAGACACTGAGGGTGGCTGTTTGAGATTTATGTTCCCCGGTCTTCCTCCCACAGGAAAAATAGAATGTCTCTGGCAGATGAATATTTATTTGTCCAGCCTCATTTCAGTGTCACAAATGATAAAATATCTGTTTAACAAATGGAAATTTGAGTGATGTGGCACCAGGGGTCACCAGGGTCACAAAAAGGACTACAGCAAGTACAGTGTGATTTCGCAATCTCTGTTTAATAAGAGTTCTTAAAGGATTACAAAACAGGTAGTAAGTTTTACTATGCTGAAGACAAAGGAAAACTACATAGACTGTAAAAAAAATCTGTGTTCTTCTCTTTCATTTATACATGTGCATAAATGCGTGTGTGTTACAAAACTTAGAGACAAGAGCTCTTGCTTGCCGTTGCTGGGCACTGGATATAACACTACTCTTCCACTCACTGATCAGCCCATTAATGGGCTGGTTTGACTTTCTCCAGAAATACTAGGTGAATGCTTGTCCGCTTTTATGAACACAGAAAATTCCTGCTGGGGCCATCCATTAGCTGTGGTCACAGAGCCATCAAGAGAGAGTTTATCTTTGTCACATGAAATGTATCAAATCAGCATGCGAAACAAAATACTTCTTTTTTTTGAAGTTCATAGGGGCTAATTTGAAAATGACTTTTATACTTGTAAAATCAATACAGACTATGAAAGAGAAGTAAATATTCTTCAACGTCGAGCATGTAAAATCTGTCTTTTTGAGCTATTAATGAAAGAATATATTATTAAGAAAAATACTATACAGCATTTTAAAGTGACGTGCAGCCTTAAACTGACTCTGTCAGAGCATCTTACACTACAGAAATGATTATTTAATAATATCCTCGCAGAAAGTTAGTGAAGTCTTCATTACCAAAATAAGTCAAAGCAATTGGCCTCATAAATTTAACAGAAATTTTTTCTCACTTTAGCTGTACTTCCAACTTCCTCGAGTTGCGGGATGGAGTTGATTCCAATGCACCAATACTTTCCAAATTTTGTGGGATGTCTTTACCCAGAAGTCAGCTGTCCTCAGGAGACGTCATGTATTTGAGATTCCAGTCCGACAACAGCCCTACTCATGTGGGGTTCAAGGCCAAGTATTCTATAGGTAACAACATTTTTAATTTTAAATAGGAAAGTTGTGATAGAATGAATTTATGAAAACTTTAAAAAAACACATCTTTAAAAGACCTCTTTCTATCTGCCTAATTTTAAAAATTATTTTAATAAAAAAAGGAGTGTAAATGCTTAAAACCACAGTTATTTATTAATTTTAATTTCCCCTTTGATTTTCATTTTAAAACACTACTTTTAGTAAACTTAAATAAGTGAGTACATTACACTAAGATATTTTAAGAGAGGGAGACAGAGAGAGACCACATTCACATAACTTTTACTATAGCATACTGTTATACTTGTTCTATTTTATTATTAGCTATTGTTGTTCATCTCTTATGTACCTACATTATAAATTAAACTTTATCGTAGGTATGTATGTACAGGAAAAAATAGTATATATATGGTTTGGTACAATCTACAGTTTCAGGCATCCAGTGGAGGTCATGGAACGTATCCCCCATGGGGAAAGGGGAATTACTGTATGTATATTATTTTAAGTAATAAAACTATTTAGTAATCAAATAACTGTATTTAGAACAGTGACTCTGAATTCCTCATCATATATAAAATAATTGAGCTTACTTTTTTTTCTAAGTCTCTAGTGCCAAATCTAATCGCTGGATAAAAAGCAAACATATCTCCTTTGTGTTTCCATTTCCTTATTTAGAAAATGAACAGCAAATGTACTTACTGAAGATTCACTATAATATAATATGGTCACAATGGCATAAAATTTCATATCTAGTGGGTCTGGACACAAACCAAATAAATATTTAATACAGCAAAAACTCAGAAAGCCTATTTGTGACAATATTTAACCTACACCATAGGTCATTTTATATCCTAAGTCAAATTGCATATAATTCAATCTAGCTATCCCATCCATCTGATAAATAATTGATGGTAATTTTCAGGATCCTGAGATCCAAGTTACTACGGTTAACTGTTTATTTGCTAGTTAGACTAGAAATGGCAAGCGTCACCAATCAGCCACAGTACCCCATCCAGCTGAGCTTGGACTCAGTCTTTTAGAATCAACACAGGTACTAGAGTGATATCCAGCCATCAGTTCGTTCTTGGGATGAAACTTACTTGCAGCTAATAGCACTTACGTAGTGTCCCAAGAGAATTAATGTGACATTACAAAATAGGCCATTCAATGGCTGACTTCCATTTCCCATTTCCCATTTTTGGATTGGGCATGTGGTATCATTTCTATTTACATAAACAGTAGATTTCAAATAATAAAGAAAGCATTTACCAAACATTTTCAGAATGTTAAAAACTTCATATTCACTTGGCATCTAACGTTTTCAAATGTGCTGGTAAAATCAGAAAAAAAAATCTGTGATAGAATATTGCATGTATGCTGTCTCTCTCTCTCTCTCTCTTTTTTTTTTTTTCAGCTCAATGTGGAGGAACAGTAACAGGGCAAGCTGGCGTCATTGAAAGCATTGGTTATCCAACACTTCCATATACAGACAATTCATTCTGTGAGTGGCATCTCCAGGGTCTCTCAGGACACTATCTCACCATCTCTTTTGAAGATTTTGACCTCCAGAATTCCTCTGGCTGCGAAAAAGACTTTGTGGAGATCTGGGACAACCATACTTCTGGTCAGTGACATATATCCCCTTTCTTTTGGGGTGTTTATTTGAGGTGTACTCATTCAGCCTCTGAAGTTTCTTCATTTCTAAGAAAAACAAAAGTATGTTTGTACTCTGCAGAGAAGTGCAGATCGGTCAGCTCTGAGCAGTGCCAGCAATTCTGTCCCTCGATTTCACCATTAACAGTGGGTGCTCAAAGCCCAGGTGTCCTTATTTGGCTTATCCCGAGACCATGCGGAGAGAGCACTGTACTGGGAAGGCCTCCTCTTCCTGCTGAGACAGCCCATGGCCACATGCAGTTATTCGCTGAGGCTTGGGGGGAGGAGAGGGTAACATACATCTCCCGGCAATAATGTGAGACGGACGGTTGTCACTCTGTTGTCTTGGACCACTTTTTTAAGCAAATGAGTAAGCCTTCCTCGTCGTGCTCAAGATACCCTTCCTCTAGTTGGTTGCATTTCTTTCACACTTCTTCATATATTTGAATATGTTAATTTTTATTCATGTTTTCCTGCTTTTCTTGACAGAGATGGCCATTGTCATAGGCAGAGTCGTGTCTTTTATTATTTTCTTTGTACATGCAGGACACCTCAAACAGAGGTTAAAAGAAATAAATCGCCAGGACACATGCATACTTAATTTTTTGATTCTCACAGGAAATATCTTGGGCAAATACTGTGGAAATACCATTCCTGACAGCATAGACACTTCTAGCAACGTTGCTTTGGTCAGATTTGTTACAGATGACTCTCTTACTGCCTCCGGATTCAGACTGCGGTTTCAATCCAGCTTGGAAGGTGAGTTGATTGATTCATTTAAAAAAGGAAAATACATTTTTGAGCACCAACATTGGATAGACACTATGTTGGGTACCAGTGTTACAAAACAAAACATGACCCCTGTCTTCTTGGACCTTACCATTCAGTGGAGAGGCAGACATTAATCAAAAAGTCACACCAATAAATGAAAAATTACAACTGTGATAAGGGCAACAAAGGCAAGTAACTATTATCATGAGAAATGTAATACGGTGATGAGTTCTACTGCAATGCTCATCTTAAGAAAAAGTCAGTCCATTAGTCCTACAGTCATTCAGAATTTGCATTCCCAAATACCCGGACAAACTCAGGTGCAATAAAGGTCTTGTCTGCAAAACTGGATAATTACTTCAGCCTTCTAGTTTTCCTGATTCTTAAGTTCACAACATTTATTGGTCTCTCATATTTCTTGGGCCATCGTGATAATTAAAATGCTGCCAGTGTCCTATCATCCTTGGAAGCAAAGATTAAGTATTAATAGAGATAAGAAGTGAATGCAAATGTTCTCTAATAGTCCTCACATATGATCATAAATAAATAAGGGCAATGATTTTGTCTAGAGGGATAATTTAAAAATAACTTTAATTTTGAGAGCCTTCCTGATGGAAGGAGATATTTTGATTGGATTGCAAGTTTTCTTAGCTTTCTTTTTTCCCCCATTAGAGTGTGGTGGGGATCTGCAGGGCTCTACCGGAACATTCACTTCCCCCAACTACCCGAACCCAAATCCTCACAGCCGGATCTGCGAGTGGAGAATCACTGTGCCGGAAGGAAGGCGGGTCACCCTAACGTTTAACAACCTGAGACTGGAAGCTCGCCCATCCTGCGACAGTGAGCATGTGATAGTAAGTGTCCTGTGTAGTCAGGGATATTATGTTTCATTGTTTAAGGAGTCTATTGACTCATAAATCACAGTCAGAGAACTAGGTCGGGAACATTGGCATTTAAGCAACTGTATCTCAGACAAGTTCTAAGTGCTTTAGATAGAACAAAATCACAATGAACTGCCAAAATAATTGCAAACGTTGTTTTAAGAGACTATCACAACATGCATCAGGGTCATAGACAGAATAAATTTTAAGAGAAAAACGATCATTACAGATGACAAAACTGGGTAGGCAGAGGAAGGCTGAGCCTAAGGCAGCACGTAGCTGAATGGGACCAGAGTCACAGCGCGCGCCACCACCAACAGTTTTAAGAGATGGGTGGTCCTGCATGATCGCCGTTCTCTGCTAAAGGCATTGAATGACTCCTGGAGGGAAACCATGGCTGCCCACCCTCCGTGGTGCCAACCACACATGGTTTGAGATGTGCCTTCAGCATTCTTAGCTTCCCTCAGTAAAAGAAAGCAAATGAGATCCATGAGTGTGAATAACAAATATATTATTAACTGCGCAGTGCAACACACACACATATAGATGTGCACACATATGTATGTACATATACATAGGTATGTACATGTGTGTGTATGGAGATAGATTAGATTAATGTTAGTATATTTCTCCACCAAACTTGCCCCTTCTGCAGTCTTTGTAATCTCAGTAAATAATTCCAAACTTCCAGTTGTTCGGGCCGAAAGTCTTGATGTCTGTTTGGGAGTCCTTTCTCTCACTCCCTGTATTGCATCTATGAGCAAGTCCCATGCATGTGTCTTTAACAAAATATCCAGACTCTAACTACTTCTCGTCGTATCCACTAACACCACCACCGCCACTCACCTGGAGTGTTTTGATAAGCTCCACCTGGTCTCCCTACCACCACTCTTGTCTCCCCACGCTCTCAACACAGCAGCCAGTGGAT